ATCAAAGTCATGAAAAACAAGAATCTGAATCCAAGACTACTCTACCCAGCAAGGCTATCATTCAAAATAGAAGATCAAATAAAGAGCTTCCCAGACAAAAAAAGGCTAAGGGAATACATTAGCACCAAACCAGCACTGCAAGAAATGTTAAAAGCACTGCTGTAATTAGCAGTAGAAATGGGAAGAAAAATAGAACCACACTAAACAAAAATGGCAATAAATAAGTACATATCAATAGTCACCTTAAACGTAAATGAATTGAATGCTCCCATAAAAAGACACAGAGTAGCTGAATGGATAAGAAAGCATGACTCATCTATATGTTGTTTACAAGAGACCCACCTCTCAACAAAAGACTCACATAGGTTGAAAGTGAAGGGATGGAAAGAAATTTTCCAAGCAAATGGAAAGCAAAAAAAAGCTGGGGTAGCAATTCTCATATCTGATAAAATAGATTTCAAAATGAAGACCATAACTAGAGACAAAGAAGGCCACTATATAATATTGAAAGGATCTATCCAACAGGAAGATATAACCTTGATAAACATATATGCACCCAATATAGGAGCACCAAAATATATTAAAAATCTTCTGGAGGACTTTCAAGGAGAAATCGACAACAATACAATCATAGCAGGGGACTTCAACACCCCATTGACAGCACTGGATAGATACTCTAGGCAAAAAATTACCAAGGAAACAGAGACTCTAAATGAAGCACTAGACCAAATGGATTTAATAGATATCCACAGAGAATTACACCCCAAAACTACAGAATACACATTCTTCTCAAGTGCACATGGGACATTCTCAAAGATAGACCACGTGATAGGACACAAACTAAATCTCTACAAGTTCAAGAAGATTGAAATCATATCAAGCATCTTCTCAATGTTTCACAATGGCATGAAACTAGAAATCAATTGCAACAAGAACATTCAAAGACATTTCAACACATGGAGGCTAAATAGCATGTTATTAAACAATGAATGGGTCACCGAGGAGATCAAGGAAGAAATTAAAAACTTCCTGGAAACCAATGAAAATGAACACACAACAACACAAAATCTATGGGATGCAGCGAAAGCAGTTCTGAGAGGGAAGTTCATAGCACTACAGGCCTACCTCAAAAAACAAGAAAAAATCTAATTGACTTTCGAACCTCACAACTTAAAGAATTAGAAAGCAAACAAAAGGAAAACCCCAGAGCAAGTAGAAGGAAGGAAATAGTAAAGATCAGAGCAGAAATAATTGACATAGAGACCAAAAAAACAATTCAAAGGATCAATGAAACAAAGAGCTGGTTTTTCGAAAAGATAAACACGATTGATGGACCCTTAGCTAGACTCACCAAGAAACAAAGAGAGAGAACCCAAATACACAAAATCAGAAATAAAGGAGGAGAAGTAACAACCAACACCACAGAAATACAAAAGATCGTTAACAACTACTATGAACAACTATATGGCAACAAATTCGACAATCTAAGCGAAATGGACAAATTTCTAGAAACACACAGTCTCCCAAAACTATTCCCGGAAGAGATAGAAAACTTGAACAGACCAATAACAACTAAGGAAATTAAAGAGGTAATCAAGACTCTCCCAGCAAACAAAAGCCCAGACCCAGATGGCTTCACAGGGGAGTTTTACTGAACATTCAAAAAGAACTAACACCCATTCTCCGCAAACTCTTTCAAAAAATTCAAGAAGAAGGAAGACTTCCAAACTCGTTCTATGAAGCCAGCATAATTCTAATTCCAAAACCAGAAAAAGACACTACAAAGAAAGAAAACTACAGGCCAATATCCCTGATGAACATAGACGCCAAAATCCTGAACAAAATATTGGCAAATCGGATCCAGAAATACATCAAAAAAATTATTCACGATGACCAAGTGGGATTCATTCCAGGGATGCAAGGCTGGTACAATATTCGCAAATCAATAAACGTGATACACCACATAAATAAAATGAAGAATAAAAACCACATGATCATATCAATAGATGCTGAAAAAGCATTCGACAAAATCCAGCACCCATTTCTGATAAAAACGCTCAGCAATGTAGGAATAGAGGGATCATATCTCGACATAAAAAAAGCCATATATGAAAGACCTACAGCCAACATCATACTCAATGGACAGAAACTAAAAACATTTCCATTAAGAACAGGAACAAGACAGGGATGTCCACTTTCGCCACTCTTATTTAACATTGTACTGGAAGTCTTAGCCACAGCAATCAGACATGAAGAAAAAATAAAAGGGATCCAAATTGGAAAGGAGGAAGTGAAACTGTCATTATTTGCAGATGACATGATATTGTACATAGAAAACCCAAAAGACTCCATCAAAAATCTATTAGACTTAATAAATGAATTTGGCAAAGTAGCAGGATACAAAATTAACGTCAAGAAATCGATGGCATTCTTGTACACCAATGATGAACTCACAGAAAGAGAAACTGAAAAAACAATCCCATTTACCATCGCGCCCAAAAAATTACGATACCTAGGAATAAACTTAACCAAAGAAGTAAAGGACCTATTTGCAGAAAACTACAGGGCATTGAAAAAAGAAATAGAGGAAGATATAAAAAAGTGGAAGCACATACCCTGTTCATGGATTGGAAGAATTAACACCATTAAAATGTCCATACTACCCAAAGCAATCTATAGATTCAATGCAATCCCCATCAAAATACCAACGACATATTTCATAGAACTAGAACAAATATTTCAAAAGTTCATATGGAACCAAAAAAGACCCCAAATAGCCACAGCAATCTTGAAAAAAAAAGAACAAAGTAGGTGGGATCACAATACCAGATATCAGGTTATACTACAAAGCGACGGTAACCAAAACAGCCTGGTACTGGCACAAGAACAGGCATATAGACCAGTGGAACAGAACTGAAAACCCAGAAATGGACCCAAGGCAATACGCTCAATTAATATTTGACAAAGGTGGCAAGAGCATACAGTGGAGTAAAGACAGCCTCTTTAATAAATGGTGTTGGGAAAATTGGACAGCTACATGCAAAAAAATGAAACTAGACCATCAACTTACACCATACCCAAAAATAAACTCAAAATGGATAAAAGACTTAAATGTGACCCGTGAATCCTTAAAAATTCTAGAAGAAAATGTAGGCAACAAAATTTCGGACATCATACGGAGCAGAATTTTCACTGATACATCACCTAAGGCAACAGAAATAAAGGAGAAAATGAACACATGGGACTACATCAAACTAAAAAGCTTCTGCACAGCAAAAGAAACAATCATCAAAATGGAAAGGCAACCCACTGTATGGGAGAACATCATTGCCAATGATGTATCAGATAAGGGGTTAATTTCCAATATATATAGAGTGCTCATACAACTCCACAAAAGGAAGACAAAGAACCCAATTAAAAAATGGGCAGAGGAGATGAATAGACACCTCTCCAAACAGGACATACAAATGGCCAAAAGACATATGAAGAAATGCTCAACATCACTAATCATCAGAGAGATGCAAATTAAAACAACAATGAGGTATCACCTCACACCTGTCAGAATGGCCACCATCAAGAAATCATCAAACAACAAGTGTTGGTGAGGGTGTGGAGAAAAGGGGACTGTAATACACTGCTGGTGGGAATGCAGACTGGTGCAGCCGCTATGGAAAACAATATGGTGCTACCTCAAAAAATTAAAAATTGATCTTCCATTTGACCCAGTGATCCCACTTCTGGGAATATACCCTAAGAAGCCTGAAACACCAATCAGGAAGAATATATGTACCCCCATGTTCATAGCAGCACTATTTACAATAGCTAAGATCCAGAAACAGCCCAAGTGTCCACCAGTAGACAAATGGATAAAAAAGCTGTGGTACATATACACAATGGAGTACTATGCAGCGGTAAGAAAGAAAGATCTCTTATCCTTTGAGACGACATGGAGGGACCTGGAAAGTATTATCCTAAGTGAAAGAATCCAAGTAGAAAAAGATAAATACCACATGGTCTCACTTATATACGGAATATAATGAACATAACAGTCTGAGATATACAGTAGACCCAGAAACATGGAAGTAGGGCACAGACTGACATCCTTCAGAAGAGGGGATGGTGGGTTGGGGGGATGGGAAGAGATAAAGCACAGAACTTATATGCATGTATGCATGACCAATGGACATGGACAACTAAGCCGTGGTCGGGGCGGAGGTGGGGTGGGGTGGGGGGTGCCGATGGGGTAAATAGGTAAAATATCTGTAACAAAAAAATAAATAAAAATTCATTTAAAAAAATGCTAGGATAATTAAATTAGATAGGTAAATCTGGAAAGTATTAAGAATGTGCAGTACCTCATGTCTACTTACAAAGTAACACAGCAAATGTGCTCAAAGAATAGAAAATTCTGTTACCAAAAGGAAATACTGCTTGAAAATAAAGATCAGTTCCATCAACTGATCAATAGATGATGAGAGATGGTATACCCACAAAATGGAATATTTAGCAATAAAAAGGAATGAAATACTAATATACGTCAATAAACCTGGAAAACACAATGCTAGTCGCAAAAGGCCATTCTTTGTATGATTCGAGTCGTAGGTAACATCAAGGATACTAAATCCATAGAGACAGAAAGCAGACTAGTGCTGGGGGGATGGGAATGCTTTCAGAGGGTTCTAGCTAAAGGGTATAGAGTTTCTTTTGAGGGTAATGAAAATGTTCTAAAGTTGATTGTGATTATGGCTATACAACTCTGAAATACTAAAAACTACTGAAATGTATACTTTAAATGGGTTAACTGTATATGATACATGAATTATATCATATTGGAAAAAAAAACAAAAAACTTCCAATTTGCTTTGCCAGTGGAATCAGAACACCCCACAGAAACTAATTTCTAATATCAGAGTTCTATTCTAAATAGATTTTTTTTTTAAACAGAATTCGAACATGTCTAAACAGGAGTGAACAAAACACACATTTAACATCTGCCCTACCTTTGTGGTACAGGCTGAAGGGGCTGCAGTGAAGGCAGATGTAGTGCTTATCATCAAAACCTTCGTATTTTGTCACACAAAATAACGAACCACTACTGAACTCCAGCCAGAATTCACCATGTTTGTTTTCCAATAGATCTCCATTATCTTGCTAAAAGGAAAATTAAAGATCAGAAAACATAGGTGTCATTATTTAAATGCAGAAACCCTGGGACAAAAATCTATCATGTTGCAGCCAGGTGGTCTGACTCCTGATCCATCTGACACAGTGGTGTGAAAACTGAAAAACTAAATGGGGCCTCTTCTGTCGAATGAATCCCTGTGCTTCATCCTCCTTGATAATGGACAAATTACTAGTTATCATCCCAGGAGAAGAACCAGCACGTGATTTCCAAAGGAAGGTGTATATAACGTTTGTCTTTTGATCTGCAACGGAAGGTAAATTTCCAAAGCTGCTGTCGTCAGAAAATTGATCTTTAGTCACTGAAACCACCTCAAACTACCTCAATTACAGGATGTGTTATCATGGTAAATTTAGAATAAGATGCACTTGGCCCTGGTCAGTGTGGCTCAGCGGTTAGTGCATTGACCTTTGCACCAAAGGGTCACAGGTTTGATTCCTGATCAAGGGCACATACCTGGGTTGCAGGTTAGATCCCTGGCTCTAGTTGGGGCACATTCGGGAGGTGGTCGATCCATGTGTCTCTCTCTCTCACATCAGTGTTTCTCTCTTTTTCTCTCTCTCTCCCTCCCTCCCTCCCTTCCCTTCCACTCTCTCTAAAACTCAATGAAAAAAGTATCCTCAGGTGAGAATTTGATAGATAGATAAAATACAATAAGATGCACTTGAAGAAATACTTTAGATTTGCAAATCCTTACCTTTACATCTGTAAACACTGCTATTAATCCGTGATTAATATTCAGAAGAACAGAGAGAAAACTCTGTGAGTTCTTGCTCTGAGAGTCGAGTTTTTTTTTCCTACGGGAACGATAGTTGGGATCAAGAGTAGAAAAATACTGCAAAGTCTCCTCCTCAGATCCACTTTCCTCATCTATGAGAAATAAATGTCACAGTTACATGGTTCTGACAGTTTATCTTTAAAAAACAGCAACTTGAATATTATCACAAGAATATTTATTTATTTTACAACCTGTTTATCTTTACAAACAATTTGGTATGACAATAAAAATGTACATGCTATATTTTTTTACTTTATCACTGAGCTTCACTGAAGACAATGTATATACTATCACTAAAAAGATAACATTTAATTAATAATATTCTCAATATACAGATAGGAACAGGAAAATATAAATTACTAAAAGATAATATAAAATATAAATGAAAAAGTCATCAAAGAAACATTTTTAAATCCATTAACTGAAAAGGCTACTATTGTACTGATAAACCAGGCAGTGACATCAGAACAAAATTCAAACATATTACCATAGTGAACTGTAGATTTAAATGGACTAAAACTATCCTTGTTGAAGGTATTGATCAGCTGGCTGGTTACTGAAAGCCCAATACCATATGAAATATTTTCAAAAGTCTCCACTGGTGAAGGAGCTGTTGGTTCCCACAGCAGCAAGTCATTAAAGATCCTGTAAAGTCAAAGTTGAAAAGTAAGTACATAATTCCTAGTTAACTATAGGAAAAAACTTTAAAGAATATCCTTTTAAGAAATTGCATGAATAATAATTTTTCTAAATGGTGAAATAGAAATTAGATCCTACAAAAGTTTTCATTTAAATATCAATTATGTTCATACAATGGGAAAATATCTGATATGGCTATAATGGAAGGCAGTAAGAAAAAAATTTGTACAAGTAGATACCTAATTAGATACTTGTCTAGTTTTGCCTATGTTACATGCATCAAATTACATACATCTACGTGCACTTTAAAGAAGGGAGTTAATTTAAAAAATTTTAAAACAACAAAAGGAAGACGGCTCACATATGTGAGAGCTCTCTAACTACAGCAGATCATGAATTGTCTCATCGACTCTCCCACCAATGCAGGGAGCAGCCAAGGCAGAATCCTTACTCTCACTTCACACTTGAAGAACCTGCCTCATAAAGTTTAAGGGACCTGGTCACGGTCAAACAGCTAATTAGTGGGATAATGGGACCAGGGACCAGAGCCCAGATCACGGCCAGCTCCCAATGCACTTTTCCATTACTCGCTTTCTCTGGGGATATCTGGTTTCCCTCTTCACCAGAAAGCAGTCTCATTGGGAAGACTGCATGAGATGAAGAATGCATACAGAACAGGGAATAAAGGAAGGAAGGAAGGAAATCTTTCTAACTAGCTAGCTAGCTAAGTCAATACTGGTGACTGATGGGGCGACAGATGTCAAGCTAGGCTACCACCAGAAATATTTGTCTCTACTCAGATGTCCTTTTGCCCTTACCCTCCCCTCATCACCCATCTCTATATTTTCATGAAAACAAGGACTTCAGAGTGTCTTCTATGAAGCCTTTTGTTACAATTTGAATCTGTAGCATCTCCTTCACATATACATAATTCAACCACAGCACCTATGACATGCTACTGCATTTTCTTATTTCCTAGACTGCAGCCCTTCAGAGAGAGGGGCCCGTATCTGAATCATCTTCATATGTGCCCAGCGCAGTGGCTCCCACAGAGCAGGCAGTGAAGGTTTGATGATCAAGGGACCAGTACGTGACTCACATGGAAGGACTGCCAAGAACACAGACTCACGTAAAGCCTAGTGTGAATGCCAAGCAAGGTGCCAATGTAGCCCTGTGATGATGATGTAGTGATGATGATGTAGCCCTAGCCCCTTCCTGTGAAAAGCCACTTATCTAGGAGATTCCCAGGCCAATTCCTGAGCTTCTGAAGCCCCAGAAGTATAAACCAGGACTGAGGACTGAGGACTGTGACTCACAGTAGACTATAATCCCCACCCAGAAGGACTATTTTTGGAAGCATCTCTAGGTGAAAGACACCAGGGCGAAAGGGCAGAAGTATGTCTCATCTAGGACACCCTGACAGCTGTCCCCCAAAACTGTGTGGTGCTCATCTGCTCACTGCTTCTTAGACATATGTATTAAAGCAAAAGAGTTTAAATCCAGATCTTAGTCTAAACTCCTATATAAATACACAGTGAAGGTATAAAATTAATCTTCTCAGGAAATGCTCTTCCTTTACCGTATTCCCTACAACTATCCTCTCATCTGCATAGATTAAAGAGAAACTATTACTTAAAGTAAAACCTAGAGTTCATGGTACATAAATAAAATTTCATATGATTTTTCTGTTTTCCTTATTTATATTTTGGTCTAAGCACAGTCTTGATAGCATTAATACTATAAAATATCAGGTAATGTTTTTAATAACGAGAAAGAAAACACAAGATATTTAAGGACCAATCACCATGATTCTGTGACTATGAGCCTGAAACATAACAGAAGCTCAATAAATACTTAATAAAAAGTTAGAATTATATTTATATTCTATTCTAAAGGACTATTAACTCAGAAAAAAATTCTCTTGTACCTGAGACTGTCTTTTTAAAAAGAGCTAATTGGCCAAGGCACCAAAGGAGTGACCCAGTATTTTAAATGTGTGAAGTAAAGATAGAGTTGGTTATAACTCCTGTTCAGAGAAGTTTTTATAAGAATTATAAATATATAAGGACGTTATGGAGACACTGGCAAAACGTGAATGGGATCTGAGGATTACAATATCCTCACCCGAGGACATTTTTTCCATTTTTTTTGTTGAGGTAGAGTGGGAGGAAGAGAGAGAGAGAGAGAGAGGGAGAGAGAGAGAGAGAGAGAGAGAGAGAGAGAGAGAGAGAGAGAAACATCGATGTGAAAGGGACACATCGAGTGGCTGCCACCTGCTCGACCAACCAGGGCCGGGGACAAACTGCAACCGAGGTACGTGCCCATAGCGGGAACTGAACCCGGGTCTCTCGGGACCGCAGGCCGATGCTCTAACCGCTGAGCCAAACTGGCCAGGGCAGGATTACAATATTAACATCCTCACTGTGACTGGTGAACTGTGGTTATGTGGAAGATGTCCTCGTACATGGAACATACACACTCAAGTGCTCCAAGTTGAAGGGGCATCAGGTTAGCAACTTACTCTCAAAGGGTTCAGGGAAGAGAGTTATTTTAGCTGTACTTGCAACTTTTCTACAAGTTTAGGAATGTTAACATTTTTAAATCATATTTATTTTATTTTTTTATTTATTTTTTATCCTCATCTGAGGACATTTTTCCATTTTTTTGTTCAGATAGAGTGGGAGGAAGAGACAGGAAGAGAGAGAGAAACATCGACATGAAAGGGACACATCCAGTGGCTGCCACTCGCACGACCAACCAGGACCGGGGACAAACTGCAACTGAGGTCCATGCCCTTAGAGGGAACCGAACCCGGGTCTTTTTGGACCGCAGGTCGATGCTCTAACCGCTGAGCCAAACAAGCCAGGGAAAATCATATTTATTTTAAAATGTATAAATATATACTAAGCTAAATACGGGACAAAGAATTCACACCCTGAGGAACTTACATATGACTTACATGACCCACAGGGTGAGGGACTTCAGAATTTACCTAATTCTAGGGGCCTGAGAGCCCAAGTGGGCAGAGTAAGATAGAACAGAATGCTCTTAACCAACCCTCATTTGACCAACTCCCAGATGAACCGATACTTGCTAGTTCCCTGATTTAAGCAATCAACTACCCCATCTATCACACTGACAGATGTCCCCACGTGCAGACTGCCAGCCGCTGGTACAGACTACTCTCTAGCACAGCTGAGAACTTCTCCCACTGGCTGAGCCCTTTGTTTTGTCTATTCACTGTGAGTCAATAGTGTCTGACCTCAAATCTGCTCATCCCAGCTGTATTTATTATTGTAAGTATAGTTTAATTAAATGTTGTGCTAACTCAGGACTTTTAAGTCTACAGGGTGGAAAAAGTCTTAAAAGCTAGAAGGGCCCTGGCCAGTTTGGCTCAGCGGTTAGAGTGTCGGCCTGCGGTCCGGAGAGACCCGGGTTCGGTTCCCGCTAAGGGCACGTACTTCGGTTGCAGTTTGTCCCCGGCCCTCGTTGGTCATGCGGGTGGCAGCCACTCGATGTGTCCCTTCACGTCGATGTTTCTCACTCTCTCTCCCTTCTTCTCTCTCCGTCCCATTCTATCTGTGCAAAAAATGGAAAAATATCCTCGGGTGAGGATAAAAAAAAAAAAAAAAAAAGCTAGAAGGACTTTGCACTCAGATTGTTTTGAAATTATTTATTTTTTTACTCCACTCCAAAGAAATTGAAACTGAAAATTATAGACAAAGCCTCCTGGGTATACATTACGCAAAAATTCCAAGTAATGATCCATGCTGAAAAACAGGCCTTTCCCTATATTTAAAAAGAAATGGTAAATAAACACATTTATAAACTGCATATTTAAGGCATGTATCACTGTTCTAATGTCCCAATTTAACCAACCAAATAATACAGAAAAAAAATATATATTAAGCCCTTTTGATCTGAGCTTGCCCTTGAACTAGTCACTCCACTTTGCTCAGTTTTAGCCTTGCATATGTGTAGGCTCTTAGTAGACATTCCTCAAATATAAAATAAGAAAAATAGTCTAGAGAATATACTAAAGTAGCTTCCAAACTTTATATCAAATGTAAACTCTAACAGTTAAAAATATTATAAAAGCTCACTAATGTGAATGTTTAAATTATATGCAACTATTTATAAATTACGTATATTATAAAATAAATATAAAATTTTAAAGTTTTTTTTTAAATTAAATAGAAGCACTAACACTTTCCTCCTACAGTCAATGGACTATCCTGTGAATCTCATCTTCAAGATCTTTCTGGAACTTAATTTTCTGATTCTAAGACCATCAGTCCTGGTCACAAGTAGTCAGTGAGGAGATGCCGAGCTTAATATTAACAATTTAGGAATAAAGGGCCAGTGATATTTGATACCAAGCAAATCTACAGCTGGAGGTTTCTGAAGATTGGCAGAAATTAGAATAACCGCTTACATGTGGAAGCTAGTGGTGACAGACCTAAGGACATCTTTATCCAGAACACACATGGCCACCTTCAGGGATGCAACAGAAGAGATTCCTTCCGTGGGTAGAAATGATAACAATCACAAATGACTGCTGAGTGTTTTCTATGCGCCAGCACTGTTCTGAGAATTTTCCAAGTGTTGCATCATTTAACTCTCCCAACAACCCACTGAGGCCAACACAAGTATTGCCTCCATTTACAGATGAGGAAGCTGAGCTCATGCAGGCTAGGTAAACTGTCCAAAGTCTTCACAGTCTATGACCTTCAACTCTAGAATGTCATTTATTTAAACATATTTTCTTGGTGTATATATATATTTAAGGGACTTTAAATAAAATAAATTTACATTTTTATTTTATTTTTTTATATGAATTTTTATTTATTTTTTTGTTACAGATATTTTACCTTTTTACCCATTGGCAACCCCCACCCCACCCCCCCTCCACCCTGTCCCCGGCTTAGTTGTCCATTTCCATTGGTCATGTATACATGCATATAAGTTCTGTGGTTTATCTCTTCCCACCCCCCCCACCCCCCATC